CCAGGGGATCACCCACCTTCTTCAGAGAGGTTGTTCTCTTTGGTCTCCTTGTCCATCTGGCAGCACCAGCCTTCTAGACGCTCTGTTTCCGCCTGAAGTAGCTTCAAGAACCAGTAGCCATCTCGGCGACAGGCCCCTGGTTGTGCTGGCTCTGCTGGGGAGCTGGAGGTCGACTCAAGCCAGGGGTCAGGTGGGGGCAGTGAGGATGCCTCCAGGGCAGGGTCACTGTTGTCTCCATAGGAGAGGTTGCGCTTGATCTGGGCAATCTTGGGGACCTGCCGGGGGCCAGCATCGATGTTGATGGAGTTGGCATGTGGGGTACAGTCTGGGAGACTCCTCTCAGATGACTTACAGCTTGAGTCATTAGCATCCTGGGTATCCGAGTCAGTGTCCCGTCGGGAGGACATACTGTGAGAGGGGGCGCTGCTTCTGTGGGTGAGGGATGGATGGGGTGGGGACAGGAGGAAGTGAATCACCAAGAGGGCCAGAGACCAGAGGCCACTTGACCCGGACACACAGGAGACAGAGAAACAGATGCATCATCTGCTCACCATGCGCCTGAAGCGGGTCCCACAGCCCCCGTCTCATTCTCTGCTCAGCCCTTGCCCCATCCCACCCACGCCCACACGCACACACACACAAGGACAAGGTCATAAGGTTGCCTGTTTACTGCAGTGGGGCCAGAAAGACCACCAACATCAGGGTAGCTGGGGCTATGGTCCCAGCCCAGCTTTGGCCCCCTGACTGACTGGTCTCACAGAGCAAGTGCTCATTTGTCCACCCACCTGCCCCCTGCCCAGCCTCCCATGCCTGGGCCACCACCCGCACCCCAAACCCAGCTTGGTTATTAGAAATCCAGCAAGGAGAAGTGGGTTAGGGAGAGCAGGAGAGGTGAGAGCAGAGGGAGGGAGAGGAGAGGGAGAAGCAGCCGCCACTTCTGTCCGACTTACCGCCAGTCGTCCTCTACCTGAACCCCGATGGACTGGAATTTGGTAGCGGGACTGGGCTCCTCTTTTGGCACTGGCTGAATGCAGTCAACCTTATTGAAGGACAACGACAGCAACGGCACGGAGACAAAGACAAAAATAAAAAACAAACACCACACTTGCTGCTGAAATTCACATTAGTGGGATGACGCAAACAGACGAGTAGACAGACACATACGAGGCATGCAGACACTGCACATGGGCCCGAGGCCGGACCAGGTTAAGCCGGGCACTGCTCATTCGCACGGAGGCGGGAGGGGTGTGGGTGGAGATGACTGGCTTTCCCTACTCTGAGGAGGGTGCCATCACATCGATCGCTTTGGGTCCGTTGTCCTCCGAGAGGTGGGAACCGTTCCTTCTAGTCCTCTCCTTTACACGCATCAGAGAGAAGAAAAAAAAGGACGACGAAAGAGAACACACACACACACAAAGCCACAGCCGTTATCTGGTGTAGTAAAAGCTGGGGGCTGTTTTGAGGTAAAGACCACTCCCCCAACCCTGAAGCTGAAGCCTGGAAGGGCAGGCTGGAGACACTCAGACTGAGGCAAACCAGGGACAGTTCTGGGTTTGAGAACTGCCACCACAGCAAGAGCCAGCGAAGTCCCTGGACACTACAGGATGCCATCCTGGACCTTCATCACACTTGGTTGAGCTGAAGCTACTTTCAGCACTGGGTGACCCTGGGGAGGGCCACAGCCAATGCCACAGCTAGTATTCACTCTGCAAAGGGAATTAACACAGCAACAGGAATGGCCCTGGGGCTCCCTAAAGGAGCCTGGCCAAGGAACAGGCAGGCCAGTCATCCCATTGTTGCTCAAGAATGAGGGAGAACCCATACTTGACCGAGGACTTGGGGTACCAAGAGGTAGGACAAAGGTTCAGGGTAGCCTCAGAAACAGACTCTCCAGTGTCTTGGCATCTTGGACAGATGCAGGGGCCAGGAAGGCTTTCTGAGGCAGGGATATAGCCACATTTCCCCTCAGCCCAGGAAGTGCAGCTGCTATATCTCCAAGGAGCTGAAGTGAGAACATGGACTGGGGGGAAGTGAGGAAAAGGGATTCCCAGGATAGGCCCAAGAGTTACAGTCTTTATCCCAGCATCAGTTCCGGGTAGAAGGAATCAAAGCTGGTTCTTACTCTCTCAGTCCTTCTGGAAGATAAGAGCATCTGGTTTGGAAAATGAGAGGGTGGGCTGCCAAAGACCTGAGTGCCTGGGACCAAGGTCAGAGACTGGGCTACTCTCTGTGTTCCTAGGAACCCCACTGGGAGAAGGCTCTACAGGGTGAGAGCTGGACCCTTACAAAGAGGCCCACTGGATGGAGCCAGATGGAGCCAAGAAAACTGACAGCCAACTTTTTCCCCATGTATATGTGGGGAATCTGACCTGGAGCTCTCTCTTGGGGAAAACAAATCCAGGCAAGTACAAAGAATTGCCCAATGAACCTTCTCTATTTCATGCAGTGCCCGCTTTGTGTTCCACATCCCTTCTGCATTTTACTGCTTTATCATCAACTTAGCCATATTCACTTACCCAGGGGTGGCTGTGAAAACGGAGAGCCCAAAGCATACCACCTGGTCCTTCTTGATCTACCCCAGGACTTGGTAGAGCTCTGCCTCCCTGAGCCCTCTGCCTACTATAGCTAGTCCACCCTCAACGTCCTGAGTGTACTCTACTTTCTATTTTACTCTACTATCCCTCTAGGTAAAAAGAGTCCTTTCACTTTTTTTTAAAAAACAGTATTGGGGTCTGAAGCCAGGGAGTTCTGAGCTACATCCTAGCCCCTTTAAAATTTTGAGTCAGGGTGTCTTAATACCTTGCCTAGGCTGGCCGTGAACTTGCAACCCTCCTGCCTCAGCCTCCTACAGAGCAACTCTTAAATCAAAGTTCAAGGCAGGGTCAAGTTTGCCCTGCTCAGCTACTCTAACAGAAGACAGACTACTGATGTTTGGTACATGTAGAAGGTGCCTTGAAGCAGCAGAGGGGAAACTGGTATACCACTCTGCTGAGTGCTGCAGATGTGCAGTGAGCTTGGCTTCTGGATAGACCTGTTGGTGTGAGCCACATGGCCCTAAAGAGACATCTGCCTGGACCCTTTCCCATGGAGGGAGGCACTGGGACTGGCATCGCATGTCTCAATATGACACAAACCTGGTGCTTCAAGCCACCTATCTGTCCCCAAGGCCCGAGAGAGCTCTGGGCAGTTTCCTTGAACAACCCCCATGAAGGGCCCTGGGTCCTGGGCCACTGGCCCATCAGCATCTACACTTCATGTGGCTCCCCCTGCCAAGAGGGACTATGGCTTCCATACTCAAGCTGATCTCGGATTAGAGAACTGTTAGGCCAGACCCACCTCCCATGGGTAGGCTGGCAGGGCAAAGGGTAGAGTGGACAGACAGACAGTGGACAGCAAACAGTGGACAGGAGATGGCTGGCTGAGTGTAACTACATTCACTGGGGAAACCCGCCAGAGAAGCAGCAGCATATGCCACAGCTGCAGACTCTGAAGGGGGGGTGGGGGGGTGGGGACAAGGTAGGTGTGGCTATGGGTGGAATTTGGTTTAGCCACTTGGGATGTACTCCCCAAAAGAGACAACCTTTTCCCAGGAGACCTAGTGGTCCTCCTCCAGATGTAATTACACACAGGCAGGTGCACAGAGCAGACTGAGGACAGTGCAAAAGGGGTCCCTACTTGTATTCCTATTGATGACAGTTTCCTTTTGGGGATGGTCTCGGAGTGGGACTCAGAGCTGGTCAGCGTCCCTTGTTCGCTTTTCAGAGCTGCATGTTTTGGGGGTGGCTCCAGGGCTTCAGGGGCTTGGACAACTCCACCCCGCGTCACGCTAGGCGGTCGAGTACTGCTGTCCAGGCTGTCCGATGAGTTGCTCAGGCCCGACTGGCTTGTCACTTCACTCTTGTGATCCTGGCTGTCCAGGTAGGTGTCCTGAGCAGACTCAGTACTGCTCTGGACTGTGACTGAGATGAACGGCTTTGATGTGGTACGTGGAGGGACCGGTGGTGGGGTCTTCTTATACGCCACTAGACACGATGAACCTGCAGATGGGTGAGAGGACAGGGGAGAAGGTGAAGCCTCCAACCCTCTCCAGCCCTGTTCTGAGCAAAGACTCTGCCTTACCTAGTCTAGCTCTGGCCTCAGCCACTTCCTCAGTGAGGACTTGCAGAGCAAGAAAATGAGGGTCAGACACAGCAACAACCAAGACAGACACCTGTAGGTCTCAACTCCATTCATCCTCACATGAGGCCAAGTCAAGTGGTCAATATTACCCAGAGATACCTTCCATCTCACAGTCATACATAATGGTTCTGTCCAGTCAGGACATGGGCTAGACAGTCAGGTGCATGACGCCACAAGGCTGAGGCAGAGCCTGATCCATGCTAAGAGGTGGTGATGACAGCTGAGCTCAGACAGCTAAGGAATGGTTAACACCTTGCTTTCCTGTCACTGAGAGACCTACTGTTCCCTCTGTCTTTTCTTCCACCTTCCCTCCCACTCTCTCTGTGTGGATGCCCTTCCCTATGTGATCAAAGACAAACAATCATTAAGGGCTTGGCTAACCACACTCTATCTTGCCTCTCTCACCCCACCTTTCCCTCCTCCCCTATACTAGTCTGCTGCCCCCATGACTCCATCATGCCTGGTTGAACTCCCTGTTCTTCACTGAGATCAGAAAACCAGAAATTCCCATGGAGTGTCATCTCTGAACGGCACTACCAGGCCAGCCTGGTGCTCAGCAGGCCACAGGACACCAAAGGCTGGGTGCTTGCTTCTTACATGTGGTCTGAAACAGAAGGTGCTTTTCTGGCTGTGCAGCATCTATAAGGATGGAGCCTGACCACCAATGGCCTTTCCCAGCAACTTAACTACCAGTGCTCTCTTCCTGGGAGCATGAAACAAGGCCCTGCCCTGGTCCAGGGAGGCAGATGAGCTTTGCCTTTAAGGGCTAACAGTCAACCCACAAAACAAGACCCCTTGTCACAGGTGCCATGGACAAGGGACTGCAGAATCCTCCTTGCCGCTAGGCGCTATCATAACACAAGCCTATCAGAATGGCTATACAGATGTGACATCATCAAATGCTACCGAGGAAGTGGAAGGTATGAAGATACAACCACCCTGGAAAATGGAATGATGTTTCCTTATAAAATCAAACATGTAATTTACCATACAACCTAGTGATTGCACTCTTGGGCACTTATCCCACAGAAATTACAACATGAATGTTCAGGGCAGCTTTATTTGTAATAGCAGACAACTGGAAACAATCTAGATGTCCTTCAGTGGGTGAATGGTTAAATGAACTGTGGAATATCCACGCCATGGACTATTCTTCAGCAAAAAGGAATAAACAACTGATATAAGCAACAACTTGAATGAATCCCAAGCATATTATGCTGAGTGAACAAAAAGCAATTCCAAAGAGTATCATTGTCTGATTCTACTTTTGTAACATTCTTGAAGCGACCTAATTTTCAGGATGGAGAATAGATTAGTAGTTGCCAGAGACAGGGTGGCATACTTAAGGGAAAAAGTAATAATATGGGCAAGAGGGAAGTAGGTATGATTATAAAATGCTAACAAGAGGGACCCAGTGTGTGGCAATGGAATACTTTAGCATTTTGTGTTTGTTTTGTTTTTTGAGACAGGGTCTCGATATGTAGTCCAGGCTGGCCTTGACCTCATAGCGATCCTCCTGCCTCATCCTCCCAAGTCCTGGGATTACAGGTGAGTGCTATCACACCTGGCTTACTTTAGCATCTCAACATAGAGATCATTACATGAACCTACACGTGATAAAATTGCACAGAAAACACGTTCAGGTGAATGTGAGTGAAACTGAGGAAATCTGAAGGTGAGAGAGGTGGATTCTATGTTAGTATTCTGGATTTGATGTTGTACTAGTTTTTTGCAAGATTTTACCAGCAAGGGCAACTAGGTAAAAGTTTCTACAAAGAAATCCTTTCCCTCCCTCCTTTTTTTGGTGGTACTGGAGACTGAAAACAGGGCCTTCACACTGAACTAAATCCCCAGCTCTTTTTTGAAGACATGGTCTTGCTAAATTGTCCAGGCTGGACTCAAATTTGAGATCCTTCTTTCTCCTAGATTGCTTGGATTATATGCATGTACCATCACATATGACTCCTTTGTGTTACTTCTGTATGTGAATCTAAAAATAAAAAATTTAATTGATAAAACCTATCTATCTGTCCATTCATCCCAGAGACATCTATGAAATCTGGCCCCTGTAATGAATTCCAGGAAAGCTAGGCATCCTCATCAGCACTGAAATAGCTGTGATGTGAATGGTTCTTCAGTACCAGAGGCCACAATGGAAAAGCCTAGGGAACTGGAAGTAGGCATTGTGCCCAGTGCAATCTCAAGGTAACTGGGCTCTGTGAGCTCTGAGCCAGGAGCACTTATTTCCCACTCTGTTCAAAATTGCTCAGGCTTGGAAGAAACTTTTTTTAAAAATAAATTTTATTTTAATTTTATCTTATTCCCCCTAAGCCCTTTCCTCTATGTACAAAAGCTTCGTTTCCATTTTTTCCTTCTATGTTCACTTTTTTTCTTGTCCCTTCCTTCCTTTCTCCCTTCCTCCTCTCTTGTTCCTCTTCCCTTTTGAATACTTTCTTCCCATTTCTCAATATCTATTATACATTTTAGTCCATATTTCCACTTTTGGTTTCTCACACCAGTGCAACAATACAATATTTAAACATGTGTGTCTGATTTATTTCACTTAAGAGTATTGTCTCAGGGTCCATCCATTTAGTTATACATGTCTGAAGCTCATCATTCTTTTTTATTTTTTATTTTTTTCCGGTACTGGGGATCGAACTCAGGTCCTCGGTGCTTGCAAGGCAGGCGGTGGAACCACTGAGCTAAATCCTCGGCCCTAAGCTCATCATTCTTTATGACAGAGTAGTGTTAAAAAAACAACAACAACAACAACAACATAAAAACCACGTCTTTATCCACTTGTCAGCTGATGGGTATTTGGGCTGTTTCCAAGATTTAGCTATTATAAACTGCTGCTATAAACATGGGTGTGCATATATCGCTGAGGTAGGATGCTTTTAATTCTTTCGGGAAGATACCAAGAAGAGGAATAGCTGGGTCAAATGGAACCTCTAGTTTTAGTTTTTTGAGAAATCTCTGCACTGATTTCCACAGTGGTTGCACCAGTCTACACTCCCACCAACAGTGCAGAAGGGTTCCTTTTCCCCCACAGCCCCTGCAGCATTTGTTATTGATTTGATAGCAGCCATTCTTTCTGGAGTGAGATACAATCTCAGCATTGTTTTACTTTGCATTTCATGAATGACCAGTGATGTTGAACATTTTTTCATATTTATCTGCTGTTTCTAATTCTTCATCTGAGAAGTGTCTTTTCATTTCAGATGCCCATTGAAAGATTGGGTCTTTAAATTTTTGGGGTCTGATTTTTTTTGAGTTCTTTATATATTCTACATGATAGTCCTTTGTCTGATGAATAGCTGGTAAAAATTTTTTCCCATGCTGTCAGTTGTCTCTTCATTCTGTTGGTGGTTTCTCCTGCTGTGCAGAAGCTTTTTGAGATGTCCCAGTTGTTGATTCTTTGTAGTATTTCCCATGTGGTCTGGGTTTTGTTCATGAAGTCTTTGCCTACCCCTATGTCCTCAAGCATTCTACCTATTCTCTCTTCCAGCAGATTTAATGTTTCTGTTTTAATATTTAGATCTTTGCTCCATTTCAATTTTAGGTTAGTGTGTGGTGAAAGATATGGGTCTATTTTCAATCTTTGGCACTATTTATTAAAGAGGCTTTCTTTCAGTGAAGGTGTTTGGCTCTTTTGTCAAAGATAAGGTGGTTGAGTATGTCTGGAGTTCGTTTCTGCATCTTCTAGTCTGTTCCATTGATCCTCAGGTCTATTCTTTTGCCAGTACCATGCTGTTTTTATCACAGTAGCTTTGTAGTATAATTTAAAGTCAGAGATTGTGATATCCCCTGCCTTGCCTTTGTTGCCAGAACTGCCTTTGCTATTATTCTAGGTCTCTTCCGGTTCCAAATGAACTTTATGATTGAAACTTAAGAGATCTTGCAGACACACCTGTAATCTCTGGTTACCAACCAAGAAAGAAAAAAGCATGGGTGGGACAGTCACATCTCTGGACAGAAAAGGAGACGGCAGGCCGTGCCTAGGTCTGCAGAAGAATGATCTTCCAATACACCTTCTTGCACAAGGGGCAAGCTTGCGCAGAGAAGAGCTGCTGTGTTTAGCTGATCCTAATGCACAGGCTGACAGGCCAAAACTGGGTCATTTATTAAGCTGTGCTCAGCAGTTGAGTGGCTTTGTAATTAAAGCCTTAAGTGACACTGTAAGGTAGGGATATTGATCATACCCACTTCACAGTTGAAGCACATGAGGCTCAGAAAAGGTAGATGTGCCCAGAGTTGCCAGTGGTCACGGCAACCACATCTGCTGGATACACAGCCCCTCATTCTGCTCCTCAGGCCCTGAGCCCTCCCACTTGGGCAGGGGCTACAGATTTGAGGCCTTTCACTTTATACCACTCTGCACAGCATCCTACTGGGCCCTGCAGCCAGTAGCAGAGGGACACCACAGCCAAGATCTCACTGCTGGGGCAGGAAGAGCCAGGGCCCAGCTATGCCTCAAGCAAGCTCCTGCTTGCCTTCTGGCCTTTGCAGCACTATCATCTGTTTAGTGGGCAGAGGTGGGGGCAGTTCTAAATGGGTAACAGCACACTATATTCACATATCTTTGGCAGACTCAAAGCATTTTCCCATCCATTCTCTTATTCAAGGCCAGATGTAGCTTCCCTTCTCTGCAACTGGAAGCAAGATTCCTGCTGTGGATCCCTTCTCCCCACTTGTCTGAAGTTCTATCCTTTTTTTTGGTACTGGGGATTGAACTGGGGACCTTGCGCTTTCGAGGCAGGCGGTGGAACTACTTAGCTAAATCCCTGGCTAAAGTTCTATCCTTTTGAGTCATTCCTTTGGCACTAAGAATCCAGGAGCCAGGGAATGGTATGAACCAACAAGCCTGAGTTCAAACCACCCCTGTCCTGTACAGGGGCTGTGTGGCACTGTCTCCTTGCAGGTGGAGAAAAGGAGTGATGACATGGGCTACACCAGAGAAGCCAGGTAGAGCCTGGCCTGGGGATGGCATGGTCCATCCTACTGATGTCTGGGACAGAGAAAAGTGGGCCACCACGCCCCACCCAGCCCAGGGACAGTTTCCCCTAAGAACTGGATGCTTAGAGCAGCTGTCAAGGCCAACCACTACCAATGCCCAGCAGACAAGACTGACTCATCAGGATCTCAGGCATGAATTTGTTTGGCTTGAAAGTCCCAAAGGAAGTAAGTTTTAATTGTGTTTCTGACCCAGCTCAGGAAACAGTGAAGCCTCAATTTTCTCACAATGTTTAAGGGGGAATCTGTCCTTTAAGGCAGTAGCAGGTAAGTGTTTGGGAGCCAAATCTAGCTAAGGCTGCAAGACCCCACATAGGGTCCTGTCCTCATCTGTGGGGAGGGGATGACACTGGCTGTGAGGCAGCATGTGCAGTGGTCTCCAGGATGTATGAGGGCAGAGGGCCCCCTTCTCCCAGGAGACAACGGGACTGGTCACAGTCTGGACTGATGATGAAACGCTAGCTACTCTCAGGGCTGCAGAGGCCCAGGGTCATGCTGAAGCACACAGAGGCGTGAGTCCCTACCGAGGCAGCTGGTGAGTCATTAGAAAGAAAATGTATTGGCAAGAGGCCAGGCCAAGCTGGGCATGGTGGTGCAAGCCTGTATTCCCAGCACTTGGGAAGCTGAGGCAGGTTGATGCCTGGGAGGTCAAGGCCTGCCTGGACTACATAGTGAGTTCAAGGTCAGTCTGAACTACACAACAAGACCAGACCCTGTCACAAAATACAAAAAACAAACAAACAAACAAAGGGGCCAGGCCAAGTGCTGGGCGTGGTGGTGCAGCCTGTTATCCCAGCACTCGGGAGGCTGAGGCAGGAGAACTGCCATGAGTTTGAGGCCAGCCTGAACTACATAGCAAGACCCTGTATCAAAAAACAAAACAAAACAAACAAAGGGCCAGGGCAGATGCAATAAAACCAAAAGTGAACTTTTCTTGGATTCTCTGTCTCCTGGATTATAGGTCACAGTCAGCTAAGTGGTGTGAGTAGCGGAGATGATTTTGAGGCTTTGGGGCTCCCTAGGGATTAGGCATTTCTCTGCTCTGAGTCCTGTCCCCTGGAACAGGAGGGTGGGGCCAAACCTTATAGAAGACACTCATGTCCCACCTGCAAATGCAGGAAATAGAGGCTAACATCTCCCTTCGGCCCCCTCCCCTCACCCTGACTTCTCAAGTATTTTCAGTGTCACTTCCTCTGAAAGGCCTCCCCTGACTGTTCCCTTCTCTTCTATCACTCAGGAACCTCCATCGGAGCAACTTTCCCATCTGTCTTCAGCTCCTCTAAGGATTTACTTGTTGTTGGCTATAGGCTGGGGGCACCGATGGGAACTCCACTTTGGCACAGGCCCAGGGTAATGACTCAAGCACAGCAGGCTGTCAATAAATATTTGTTGAATGAGAAAATTAACCTCATTATTGTGACTGAAAACCTTTGGATGCCAAAAATCAAGATTATCTGGCTATAGTAAAGGCTCCTAACACTTTAATATTCAAGGTTTTAGGCTGCCTCCCCTGTTAAGAGGCCTTTATGCTT